TTGCTTAGGTTACCAGAAATAACATAGGTCAATGCTTTACAAACTGATGTAAATGAGAAGAAAATCAACAAGACAGTTGATTTACCCTGAGATTTCAGCAGAGGAATGGATTAGATAACATTAGAATATAAACACAATGCATAAATCCCGTTATTTCTTAGCTGGGATGCACAGAGGAGAAGTTTTCCATCTGCTCTGGTAGCAAAATGATACTAAACGTAGTGATGGTGACGATAATAATATATTTTATTCTCATTTATCCCTTCACATGTGAAGTCTGCAAAGCACTTGGCAAACATCAGCTGAGTGGTGTTTCACAGTGCTGCTCTGAGGGGTGTGCACAGTGCCGCTTTTGGAGGGGAACAAGGAGGCACAGTCCACCAGCCCCACCAGTTTGACGGGGTGACCACAAAGGCAGAGATTCGATGCATCATTTTGGGTTCTGAGGATGCAGCACCCCACGCCACCATCTGCCCTTCCCTGTGCCACTGGCACTTCTTCTCCCAGCACCTTCCCAATGGCTTGTGTTGGCTCCCACCAGAGCAGGGGCTGCAGGAAGTGGAGGCAGGCTCAAGCCAACTTTCACCTCCCTATCTGCACAAAAAGGACCATAAGGGTCCCCATTCCCCAGCAAGGGACCCAGCACATTGCCTGCAGGCTGCAGAGTCCCTCCTGCAGCTGAGCCCCAGACAAAACCAGTGGCTTGTCGCAGCAGAAGACACATCCTGCAGATTTGGTGAGGTTTGGCATGGTGGCACACCAGGAAAGCTGCACCATGACAGCCCCCTGCAATTCATGCATGCTACTGCTGTCTTTTGGTGCATTATCCCTTTGTTTGTTTGGCACTTGGAAGGTGTAAAGTGCTATGTAATGATAAGTATGATTGCTATTATCCTCCTGTTTACCCAGGATGTACTGCTGAAGCCCCTTCTGCTGTTCAGTGAGAGATGGGGTGGCAGAGTGCACTGTGACAGTTGCAGTAGATTTTCATTACGGTGATACAAACTGTGAATTATTTTCAACTTTACACAGCTGTCATTGTGTCCTCCACTCTGCTTGATGGTTTTTCTTCGTCACATATCTGGTTTCTGTCAGAGGATAATGTTATATTGTTTGAGAGATGACAGCTTGAGCACACTCAGCCAGCTATTATAATATGTCTCACTTTAGCCTGACTTTAGGCTGTGTCTTAGTCGGCCTTAGTTACCACAGCGTTATCTCTGCTTCCTCCAAGATGCAGTTAGTCTCAGCCAAGCTTGAAATAAGTTCATGCTAGCAAGAGAACACTGATTGTTTGGCTATTGCTGGCAGGCCTGATGGCATGTAGAAAAGCTGCCTTTGTAGGCAGTGGCGTTAAGAGAGGAGGCATGCAGGGCTTGGCTGCAGAGAGGCTGAGGCATCCGTTGCAGACCCCCTGTGCGGCACAGTCGCATGGCTGTGGTCCCAAATGGGGATTTAGCACTGTACACGATGTACAGTTTCCCTTGAGGTGATGCGGTTTGCAGAGTGCTTGGTTGGACACGGAGGGTCAGGAAGCTCCCAAAGACCATTCTCTGTAATCACACCATGCAGCACAGCACAGCACAGCACAGCATAGTTCTCCAGAAGTTACAGCTGCATTAAGGAGAGAAGCAGCAAGGAATGAAAGTCTCCCAAAACTTACCTCAGACCACTGCTTCTCAGAGGGCCTCTCAATGAACCAGTCTAAAAACACACAGAGAAAAAACACTGCCCCAAAACACACCTCAGGCGGGAGTTTATCCGTTGCTGTAAGGTCAACCTTGCTAGTCACTGTCACTTGCTAGTCACTGTCCTGCACTCCCTGGGCATTTGTTTCTGGTCACAGCTTGAACAATAATCAGAAATTTTTAATTGTGCAACAAGAATAGGTTTCAATTCTTAGAAGCAGCAGGAAGACAATGAAGTTTACACCAGGCACAGTAGTTTTTAGATACATATAAAATTGATAATAATGACTTGTAAAACTAAGACATTTGGCAATAAGGCAGCTGATAAAATTAAAAGACTCCAGGTGTGCACAGGAGCTTCTTTAGTTTCATGTAGCTTATCCTCCTCACCTCTGACACTGAGCAAGACCCAGACTCAGCCCACTTCACTTAGGCAATGGCTGATCGATGCAAGGAAGCCTGGCTGTGCCATGGCAAACGACACCAATTCACCAGTGAATGAAAGCGCTTGCAAAATAAATAGAAATGTATTTGCTAGGATGGTCTCACGGCCATTTGGTAATAACCTCGTTGGGATTTTGTGTCTGCAGTCTGCATTTACGTCAACAAACAAGCAAACCTGGGGCCGTACCTGGACAGAAAAAAAGTGCAGCAGCTCCCAGAGCAGTTTGGGCCAGAGAGACCATCCGCAGCCCTGCAGCAGGCTGTGCAGGCCTGCATCGACTGCGCGCTCCAGCAAAAGGCGGTCTTCTCACTCATCAAGCAGGGCTATGGAGGAGAGATGGTGTCAGGTAAAGCATTTTTGTACACGGTTTGTGGCCAGTTGGAAAGTGCTCGACTTAACCTGATCCCCACTCCTGACTGTCCAAACTGTCCCATTCACATCAGCTGGCAGTCAGCTTTTGAACATCACTTAGAGCTTTGTAAAATGAGCTGCTGCAGGAACTGCCTCGGTGTCAGGTGAAAGTGTATTGGTAAAGAGTATTAAAGCAGTGATTCAGGGGTGAAATGGGGCTAGCTCCGGAGCCCTGTGCTTACCGCTTTTTGCAACAGTGCTGAGGCCAAGACTGCGAGCTGAGGCTTTCACGCAGCCGTACATGGATGAGTATTATTGCAAGCCTGCTTCATGCTACACTTTGCCACCACATGTTCTAAAGGAAACTTGCACAGAGCTCAGCTGCTGGTGTGTCCTCTGCCTGCAGTTCATGAACCAAATCTGCTCTCGGCTGCAGGTATTGCAAATTCCCCATACAGCAGGACTATGCAAATATACTGGAGACAATCGGAGAACAGAGGGAACTTCCCAGGGGCATCTCATCTTCCCACGGTGACACTTCTTGCTGTGCCCTGATGAGTCTCCCATGTGCCACGCTGAGTCCCCTGGCCTGGCTCTCAGAATGAACATGAATTTTTCTTTTAATCACAGTAAAACATCTGTATTGCAACATTGTTTTAGCACATGAGGATGCAGTGGGAATGAAACAATGATGGGAATATGGGAACAATGCTCTCCAGTGAGCTGCAGTCGATGAGTCAGGCATGAACGCAAAGCCAAGGACTGCAAGTCCAATCAGTTTTGCAGGGACCACAGCAGCTCAGCTGTGTCATTGGGACCCACTTGTGTGGGAGCTCAGGCTCTGGACCTCTATACAGCATATAAATCCTGCTTCCTCCCTCTCCTCCTTTCTAATCACAGGTGTGCCTTCCCTAAGGGATATCAGAAATACCCTAAGAATGATCCAGATTTGTTCACAGGAATACAAGACTGAAGCACTTTAGTGCAAAGTTTCATTTTTGCCTGGTTCTGTGTTGTGTGTATGATTTTCATTACAAGCAGGAGAGTCACTTTTTGTACCAAGCCTGCCACACCTCTTGGTCTCAGTTCCTCTGAGCTGGCTTAGCTTCAAGTACCTGAGCTAAAAGCACCTGGTCAACATTTCTCCCAACTTCATGCCTCTTCTAATCGTCAAGGAGGGGTGAATGGCCTCACAGTCATGATGTGGCTCCAAGATTGCATCTCAGTCCCAGCCCAGCAGCAGCACAGACAGGTCTTCTCATGGGCTTTCCAGTCTTCCCATGGCTTGGCTCACAGATGGTCAGCTGGCAGTGAAGCATGATCCCTTACAGCAGCTCAGGCCAGCAGGAA